CACGCAGTTTGTACCCGCTCTCCTCTCTGACACGCTGTCAAAGGAGGCTGAGTGAGCGAGAACGGAGAAGCTGAACCGAGAGCGCCGCAGCCGGGACGGATCCCGGCAATACTGTTGAGATCCACCCAGCTAGCTGATTGACAGAGGCAGAGTTAGCTGTGCTCGCCCCTCCCCTGTTCATTCCTCCACTCAGCACTGGAGGATCAGACATTAATCCCTGCAGGGAGCAGTGACTGACAGTCACTGCTCTCTGCAGTGCAATTATCAGAAAGTGAGCGAGTGACGGTGTGTGTTCGCTCACTTCCCGATCTATAGAGCCGACAAGTGACCGTTTCATTGTCACAGGCCGGCTTTAACTATGAGGATGAGTGATTTTTCACTCACCTCATAGTTCTCCTTTAATTATGCTTCAGACTCTGATCTATCCATAACAGAAGCCTTTCTGGAGTGAGGAGTGTGTACATGCATCAACTAGAAATAGAGCAGCATCTGTACACTTACTGGTTCAGGTCCAGCCTGTCCATAGTATGAAGGATCACAGTGGTCTGTGCTAGGATATTCCCTGACCACTGCTAATGTTGCTGCTTTTTGTCTTTGTTCTTTCATTGCTGGGAAAAAAATACTAAATGTCCATACATCTACCCTCATTACTTTATACAGGGCTGAACAGTTCAATGCTGGTCAATCTCTGCCTCAGCAACACCCATTGCTTGTTTTTAAATCTTCTGCCCAGAATATAGCTGGGTGAATGCCATTTGCACTGCATTCCTGCCACTAGATGGCACTAAGCATCATAGAAAATTCCTGTGCTCCTCATTTAGTGGTGGTAGTGCTGTGCTCGGCGGAACATTTACCAATCAGACCCTAATCTGATATTAGGAATGTGATAAAATATATGCTTGTCCCATGTACCTCTCAGTTTGACTGACATCATTTCTGCCGCCACATCAAGTGCCAGCCTCACTCTGGCCACATCCTGAAGCAGCTGTACTGATGTCTCCTCATTTCTTTGCCACTTGCTGCTTCTTAAGTAGTTTTGCAAAAACGATGCTTCCAATTCAAAGTATTCAAGTTTTTCATCCTCATTTTGAACTTTTTGTTTTTTTTCATATAGTGAATCCTGCAATAAATCCCAACTTATAATAAAATAATACAACATATAGAACACAAATATGATCTTGATACCACACATAAAAGACTGTCATAGTAAAAATGTGTCTCTTTCTTTGACATTTAGAGATAAAAGCACTTTTCTACACCTCCTCCCCAGCAAACTGAGCATATGTTATGGTACATATATACCTGTCTACCATACCGCTGCCCAGATGTTTCCATTCAGTGATAAACACAGCACCATACAGTTCCTGGCTGAAGCTTTCAGAAATCCACCAAGAAAAATGTGCTGCGCATGCGCATGTAACCTCCAATCATCTTAACTGGAAGCCCATTTGTCAGCCTGGGGATAAACTTTCCATTGAAATTAAGCATGTTCAGATACCAGTGCCAATACTTGGCATTTTCATGAGAACTACCAGGGTTGCAGCTGGGACCTGGCTCTGGCGCTCCACCACTGTCCTGAAATCATTAGTCTGCATTGTTTTAGAAAAACTGGCACATGACAATAAACAAAAATGTATCAGTACTTGTATCTGTGAGTACTTGGACAAGTATCAGTACTTGAAAAAATGGTATCGGTGTATCCCTTACATGTATATTTATAAAAGAATAATCATACATTAAAACAGGGATGCACAAATCCCAGGAGCTCTGTACGCTCTTTCAAAATGATAACTGCCTCTTAACTTTTGAATTTTTCTCTAGTCTAGTGTTGGAGCTGGAAAAGTATCTGTACTTGTACTTGTACCGAGTACAGTACTTGGTATCTGAACATCCCTAATTGAAATGAATGGATCCGTGGTGCACATGCACCCGAACAGCTCAGAGGATTTCTGAGGATTTTAGTCATAAACTATGAGATGCTGGTGTGCCTCATAATGAAGCTCTACAGACAGGTAAGTACAGGTTATGCTTAGCGTACTGACTTATGCTTTAAAGTCTGACTGAACTCTCAGTGAAAGGCTCCATTCACATCTTTATTTTAGGTGCAATTTGCAGAACGCCGACATGCTGCATGTAGTTGTATGTGATATGATTACATGCAGTTGGGAAACAATCGCTATCCCTGGATGCATTGATCGTGCCTTCATAGATAGTGATTTTGCATAATTATCGTGTTGAAAGTCTCACTTCCAATTTAACATTACATTTTGGACAGATGGCCTCACATATTCATTAAGCCCACTCTAAAATGATGCCAAATGTATACTCGGTGACTACATGCTGCCCAGGCCCTGAAGCAGCAAAGCAACCCAAAACTATAACATTTCCACCACCATGCCTCACAGTTGTTCAAGTTCTTCTCTGAAATGCTATCTTCGGCTGATGTCAAACATGTCTACTCTATTTTTGACTGAACGTCAAACAGTAATCTTGCTAATATTCAATGTGGACAGTGAAGGCTGTTTCTTAACCCCTTCGTGACGGGAGACGTACACTGTACGTCCCGCCACAAAGTGACTATTAGACTGACACGTACACTGTTGGTGAAGAGTTATTTATTTAAGGCTCTGTAATGCCGGTAACTGCTGATTCTCAGCGGTTACCAGCCATTAATGAATGCCTCAGTATTGAGACATTCATTAATGAAATAGTTAAGATTTTGTAAAAGCTTCTTTCTTTCATTAATGAATAGCGCTCCCGTATTTGACAGCTGAAGATAGCAGAGAGGTAGCAGAGTGACTCACCTCTCTGCTATTCCTTTTGACAGTTTGATAAATTGGCCTGATGTTTGTGATACATTTCAGGCAGTGTTACAAATGTATCTCTCCAGCACAATGGGCGAAGAGGGTTCTTTACAGTAAGAGCGGTTGCTCTCTCTGTATAGCTCTCTGTATAGCTCTCTGTATCTCTCTGTATATCTCTCTGTATCTCTCTCTGTATATCTCTCTGTATATCGCTCTGTATCTCTCTCTGTATCTCTCTCTGTATCTCTCTCTGTATATCTCTCTGTATATTGAGTCGAACTTATGCTCGACTCGAACATGCAGCCCATCCTTAATCAGGAAGTAGATACAAACATGAAAAACATGTTTGTTTAACTAATGAATGTAAGATGATTTTAAATCAGCATGCAGAGCTGCATGCAGATGTGATTTTTAGTGAAAGGGGGTACAGGTCCGCTTTAACACATCTCTCCTGCAAGTTCAACATGAAATAACAAAAAAAAAACACGACCCGTTCACTCATGATGAACTCCCGCCACAGAATAGCATTCCGACAGATGCCGGGAAAACAAGCAATTGGGCATAGCTAACGGCGGCATCACTGCTAGATCTGCCCAACTGTTTACATGTAATGACAGCCCAGTGTCCTCAAAGACGCTGGGCTGTCATTGAAAGACAACTGGGCGGAGCCAGCAGTGACATTACAGCTGGCTCTGCCCAACTGTGTACATGTAATGACAGCCCAGTGTCCTCGAAAAACGCTGGACTGTCATTGAAAGACAACTGGGTGGAGAAACAGTGACATTACAGCTGGCTCCGCCCAACTGTTTACATGTCATGACAGCCCAGTATCCTCGAGGATGCTGGGCTGTCATTGAAAGACAACAACTGGGTGAAGCCAACCGTGACGTTAAGGCTGGCTCTGCCCAGCTGTTGTCTTTCGCGGAGAGATCGGTCGGCTTCTGCCGACCTTTCTCCCCGCTATGCATGTCACTATGGCTTGTAAATATTTTTTAAATATTTTATTCTATATTTTATAACTAATGAGGCGTTATAATATAATATATATATAACTATAGCAAACATGTGTACCTATCTGTCCTCTAAAAAACAATATATAATATGTGGGGGTACATTTAGTAAGAAAATATATTACTGCCGTGGAAGAATCACACAGCAAAAATGTAAAAAGTGTGTCAGTCATTTATGAACAGAAACTGAAAACTAGCTGTCATGAAGGGGTTAAAGAGGACCTTTACCCATATCTTTAAAATAACAATAAAAACACCTTTAGAAAATGTTTAGTAATGACAATCTACAAACACACACTTCTAGATAATTGCAGACTTTGTATTCTTTGCATACCTTATTACTCTGTGCATTGTGGGATGTGCCGTGGTCGAACAGATCACGGACATCCCATAATGTTCGGCGTTCGGCAAACGGTAGAACATGCAATGTTCGAGTCGAACTTATGCTCGACTCGAACATGCAGCCCATCCTTAATCAGGAAGTAGATACAAACATGAAAAACATGTTTGTTTAACTAATGAATGTAAGATGATTTTAAATCAGCATGCAGAGCTGCATGCAGATGTGATTTTTAGTGAAAGGGGGTACAGGTCCGCTTTAACACATCTCTCCTGCAAGTTCAACATGAAATAACAAAAAAAAAACACGACCCGTTCACTCATGATGAACTCCCGCCACAGAATAGCATTCCGACAGATGCCGGGAAAACAAGCAATTGGGCATAGCTAACGGCGGCATCACTGCTAGATCTGCCCAACTGTTTACATGTAATGACAGCCCAGTGTCCTCAAAGACGCTGGGCTGTCATTGAAAGACAACTGGGCGGAGCCAGCAGTGACATTACAGCTGGCTCCGCCCAACTATGTACATGTAATGACAGCCCAGTGTCCTCGAAAACGCTGGACTGTCATTGAAAGACAACTGGGTGGAGAAACAGTGACATTACAGCTGGCTCCGCCCAACTGTTTACATGTCATGACAGCCCAGTATCCTCGAGGACGCTGGGCTGTCATTGAAAGACAACAACTGGGTGAAGCCAACCGTGACGTTAAGGCTGGCTCTGCCCAGCTGTTGTCTTTCGCGGAGAGATCGGTCGGCTTCTGCCGACCTTTCTCCCCGCTATGCATGTCACTATGGCTTGTAAATAGCCTGTATAGCAGTGGTTCCACTGAACCGAAGGGTTCAGACGGTCAAAGTGAGCCGAAGGATCAGCCAAAGTTGTGGCTGGATCCTTCGGCTCTTTTATGAATAACCCTCCTAATGTTTGCCTCCTCAAATATGTTGAAAAGTCAATACATATGCAGTCAGTATGTTTTTGGACTGTGGAATTGGAGCACCTAGAGGAAACTTACATAAGTATGGGGTGTATGGGGAGAAGATATGAACAATGGGTAGATTGGATACTAGTGGGGATCCAAGCTAGGACTATTGTGCCGTAAGGTAACCACAAATAGCATACAAAAGAATGCTTTATTTTAAAGTCAGAGTTTATTACTATCACCTGTTATATTTAGGTGTAATAAGAATTTATTGAAGGTATTTCATAGTTAACATACAAAAGAGAAGATCAGTGGGGAGGGGCAAACATCAGGACCAGAATGTGAGTACTTAATGTGAAAATAATGTAACATTTACATTTGGCTATACATTCTCATGGTATCCAGTACTGCCACCTGTTATATGAGACTCATGAAAAAGCCAGGAACCTAAGAAAGTCTTACCTCCAGACAGTTAATGAATAGCAGGTATACTTCTTTTGTGTCTGCGAGTTTCAGAAGATTGCTTCCTTTGACTCTGTCTAAATAATCTTGTGCATGTTTCATTATATTGTCAAAGCTAAAATAAGCAGAGCCAAAACAAACATATGTTAGCCAATCATTTCAGAATCAAAAGAGTACAAGATGGCCGAATGTCCTTATTAGATTTCCTGTTTACCTGTACTTCAGCAGCAGTTTCAATATGACAGAGCGTATCACTGGAGTTTTGTCCACAGCATCCTCAAAGGGGGAAAGAGACCGTGTGTGACTTACAGAATCTATATTTGGAAAGAACAGAAACAGTTGACTTAAAGACAACTATAATGGTTATGGATACATTTCATTTAACATTTACTTTTAAGTTTACATTTATATTTTATACATGTTTTCTAAATGGTTATAGAATTTTTTTTTGTTTTAAAAACAAACATTTAATACAGGATGCCCACATGGCACTGGATTTATAAAGAAAGATGGTTTTCTGAAGAGACAGTGTGGCAGAAGTAGATTACCTTCCTCCTCCTCTCTATAACTTTAACTCGATAGGTCTCCTAAGCAGAGTAGGTAGGAAGTGGGATTAGTCATTGCTCTGTCCTATTCTGTTGTGTATGTGTAAAGTGAGGCTTGAGCTATTGAGCTGTTTTTTTTTCTTCAGCTAAGCAGATTAGGATAACCTGAAAGGTGGCCTAGAACTTCACCTGCTGGCTAAAAACAAGAATACAAAATATTAATTTATTTATTTACCATCCATTGATGGACACGGGAATATACTGTAAGTAATCATAGATATGTGGGTTATGCCCTTAGAAGGTGGTCACTGACAAACAGAGAAATTTTAGGCCAGCCTACTGTAATCCCACCCCTAACTAATGCCACATTTTTCTATCAACATTTTCAGGACTTTGTGGATGTTTATTCTCATCAATCAAGATTTTTCTTAAGATGCTTCATTTGGTCTCTGCACAGCAGCTATCTACAGGTGAAACTCGAATAATTAGAATATTGTGCAAAAGTAATTGCAGTATGTGCTGCAAAAGGGGCCCAAACCAAGTACTGAGTACATATGCATGCTTGTACTTTTCAAAGGTCCGATATTGTTCTATGTACAATCCTTGTTTTATTGATTGCATGTAATAATCTACTTTTTTGAGGTTGTGGATTTGGGGTTCTTGGGGTTTTCATGAGCTGTAAGCCATAATCATCACAATTATGACAAATCACGGCTTGAATTATCTTGCTTTGCATGTAATGAGTCTATCTCATATATTCGTTTCACCTTTTAAGTTGCATTAGTGAAATAAATGAACTTTGCACGATATTCTAATTATTCAAGTTTCACCTGTAAATAGGCTAATATTTAATGCTGCTTTGGTGGCCATTTCTGGACCCTGCTGTGCCAAAGACTGTGGGTCTTGCCTGTAATGTGACACCTAAGGCACTGGGCTCTGCCTGTGGTACCCCCAGAAACCTAGTGTACTTCTTTGGTGATTGCAATTATGTTGCGCTAGGTCCTGTGCAGCAATCTGTTAATCAACCTCTGTGTGTTTTATGCATTGTATGCCGACACCATTAAACTCAGTCGGTTTCAATGCCATGCATATCTATAGATATATAGAGTGAACTAATCTTATCAGATACGTGAAAGGATACTTTGCTTATTGTGTACACCAAAAATCTGTGATTCTAGAATAAATAAACAAACAAATTACTGTGCGGTGAGAAATATGAAACCTCATAGGTGAATAAACACCAAGTTCCTCCATCAAGTAGTATTAGGGCCTGTTCACACAACGTCCGTTTTCTGTGCTGACCTGCTCCGTACGCTCATGCACTAAAAATGCATCCCAATGTATCCATATGTGTTTTATGGGCTACAGTTCTCACGTGGGCAGTCCGTTCAGGTTACGACAGAAAAAATACTGTATGTCACATTTTGTCCAGTCAGGAAACACAAAACGCGTGAAAAACTCACTGCACTGCAGCTAACATACTGACAGCCCCACTCCAGCAGAAATTTTTTTTCTTTTTTTTTTACTGGAACGCATCAAAAACGCGGTAAAAACGCTGCAAAAACACATAGCACCGCGTCTGCAGATCCACACCTGATCCGGACCTGAAAATCATGTGAACAGGCCCTTACAGTTGGACAAATTAAACTAAAACTCTCTCCTAAAAAAAGTGATCGTATTGATGGATATAGTATCTGGACATCATTTTAACCAAACTCGACAAATGTTTTATAGCTTGGTTAAAATGATATCCAGATACTTTATCCATCAATACTATCACTTTTTTTAGGAGAGACTTTTAGTTTAATTTGTCCAACTGTAATACTACTTGATGGAGGAACTTGGTGTTTAATCACCTATGAGGCTTCATATTTATCACCGCACAGTAATTTGTTTGCTTATTTATTCTAGAATCACTGATTTTTTGTGTAATCCGTGAAAGTAATCCTTTCACGTATCTGATAAGATTAGTTCACTCTATGGCCTCATTCGCACTGCCACGCGTATACGCGCGTACGTGCATATTGTACCTTATGCAACATATGCAAATAAATGGCTCCATACACACACACACACACACACACACACACACACACACACAC